CATAATTCAATCACCTGTCGTTGCTGTTAGGTAGTCCCTCCAACCGATCATGTTGCCTAGGCCCCTCCCACTGTTGACCAATAGCTACCTATTTTCAGCTGCTGGTGAGGTAAGCATGTGATCCGTCATAACCCATAAGCCCCGCCCAGAACTCGTACACAAATCGTAAGTGAGATGAGTGGGCACTGTTTACCCAGTCTGTAACAAAGTAACAAAGGACGTCAACATGAACCCGTGACAGAAGCGTCGCTCGTTCTCCGAGTGGTGGCGACCCATGTGTTTGTTTTAAAATGGCACTCGGTCTTCCTCGTCTGATACATTTAGTTTTATTGTCACCTTTGCACAAAATCTGCAACAAAATAACAAACAAAATACATGTACAAACCAACAACATTAAAAACAACAGTAATGTGGCTACTTTCGATTGGGACCTCAGATGGGAATGGTTGGTTGTTTTTTTTCGTTTTGATTAGTCCAGCCTAAGACGGCCACCTGTCTTATACGGCCACTTTTCTCCTTGACAATAGGTGGCCGTCTTACACAGGTTTGACTGTATATGTATATCACTCACACACACACATACACACCTACACACACACACTCACACACGTACAGGTCTACTCCAGTCTGCCTCATGGATTATACATATACAACGTCACCACAAGGGTAAATAAATAAATAAATAAATAATTAAGGAGGAGAGGAATAGGGCAATAATAGATGTTAAGTAGGAAAGAAGGAACAAAGCACACCAGAGCACCCGCCAACCACCCGCTGCTAAGTACATTAATGTACTTGAGAACTTCCCACTAGCCTCAATCATCAATTGTGTAATAATGGTACCGGTAAGTCTCTTCACTGTTACACGCGGAAGAAGAGGGTTCAATCCCCTCGATAAAAAGTCGCATTTAAGATGGATGCCCAGATTAGGGCTGGGCAATGACTCAATGAGTCGCTTTAGAAAAATCCGGATAATGTTAGTGCCCCTCCTCTGCGATTAAATGTGTGATGAACCGCTTCAGCAAATGGGTTAGAAGAACCACTTCAAAATATGGGTGTACCCACTTCGGCAAACAGGTCAGGAAAGAGAGTGGAGAGTCTGAATTCGGACCATGTTTCACTGAGAATTATTCGGTTATCCCGCTAGTTTAACCGGATTTTGCCCACCTCTAGCCCAGATATGAAATGATCCAGCCTCGTTCTCGTAGATCTGCGCCCGCTGTAGCCTGTTCACTTTCGTCTGACTTCGGATAAAACAGGTTAAATCAATTATTCGCTCGCTCTGTTTAATCTTCTCAGATCTTTGCGTACAGTTTTGAACGTTGGATGACCAACAGAATCTAATCTAAAGGCCCGTTCATGAAGAGAAGGTACCTACAGACTGATCACTTTTGTCTGACCGAAGTTTAAAACAAATGAACATAATAGGAAATCGCTGTGTTTGATCTTCTCAAATATTTTGTTTTGTTTTTGTAAAGCGTTTTACGGCGCTCGCAACTGCATAGGTCATATGAGCGCGCGGGACACACCTAATACACTGTATTTTCAGTTAGTAAGAAATTTTGAATTTTGCCCGGGTGGCGGCCGAAGCCTACTCTTATCGATTTTAGACCACCAAGGGATCTTT